TGAATGCATTCGACAATGTTGTCCACACTGCTTCGCGTTTCTCTCCTTTTAGACAGGTGAGTTTCTTGTAACGTGGATCTAAGGCCACAGCCATTTGCAACGTTGTCAAAGCATCAATCCCTTCAATTCTGTTTGTGAAGTCGTTCAATGTTGCAGTTTTGAATCGTCCAATATAACCTGGATCGTCATCATTAACCGTCTATGCAAAAAGGCTTGTAACGGAAGAACGGCAGAACATGTTGCATATTGTTGACCCCCAACATATTCCGTAGCATCTGCAAGTGAACCTAACACTGACGTATATTTGGCCATTTTGTCCCAATCTGACTCTGTCAGTTTAGGTCCACTGTAGTTTTTTGGATGATCGATGTGATACTGCATTATGGCATCTTTGACTTCCAACAATCTGGCCAGCATCAGGTAGGTACTGTTCCAACGAGTGGCCACATCCTGCTGCAATTTGTGGAATATGACATCATCTTTCGGCAGAGACACTGGAATGGCTGCTCTTCAGTTCGGATGTGTTGGCCGAGCTGTGCTTGACATGTCCAACTCGACATTTTGCAACAAGAGGTGATGAGTCAGCAGCCTTCAAACCTACTAATATGCTGAGTTGAAGACAATGTGCGATACATGGTATGTGACTAATCCGTTTGTCCGATAGCAGCAACCATGTTTCGTGCATTGTCTGTTACAATACAGCATATTTTATCGGTGATATTCCATGTTGCAGCAAACTCTTTATAGAAACTGGCAACGTTTTCAGCAGTGTGTCGTTCGTCAACAAGTAAGCAACCTAAAACTACTGATGTCAGTTTCCAGTCGGAATCAATCCAGTGTCCCGTTATACCACAGTATGATTCACTGTTGTTTGAGGTCCAAAAGTCAGTAAGCGGGAGCAATACTGTGAATACTTTCTATAGCTTTCTTATGCTGTGTAAGCTTCTCGTCGTACATCTGACCAATCACAGTGTCGATTGTACGGCGACTGGGTAAATTATAAGTCTGGTTTTGAAGAACTATACATAGTACTGTTTGTAGTCCACAATTGCCGTCGGACGTCCTGAACTGGCAATCCACTGAGCAATAGCAATTTTCAAGTCTGCAGAAACTTTGTCGCTTACAGGCTTGTTTGACTGACACGACAATAAATTAGTTATTGATTGTACTTGAGAAGTCTTCTGCCGGTCACTGTTGACAACTTGTTTATACTTGAGTGGATGTTTGTGCTGAAGGTGGTACGTCAGCGATGTATTTGAACCACGGAAAGCAAATTGTTTATTGCAGTGAACGCAGTAAACTTTGTTGCCATCGTCTACTTCGTCATCAGCAGTTAGCTTAAAAATAGAATGGTTGCTCAACTTTCTGCTTACATGCTTAACTGCAACGTTGCTTTCATTGCTCGCCATTGTTGTTTACGGTCTAAACGTCTAAATTTTATAAAACACCAAGGATCTCTTTCCGTCACACTGTTAACAGGGGAGGTTTTGAAGTTCTCACAGAAACAGGGAAGAGTGAGAGAAGCACTATCACTGAGTCAGTTCTGCATATCTGATGGTGTGGCTTCTGAAATATTGATTGTGATAGTGGGCATGAATAAAATATTTGTTCAACTTCAAACTGATCTGGTTGACCTACAACGAAAAGATATTTAAAATAACACTTCCCCTTTAAAAAATTTAAATTAAAACTTTAAAAGCTTATTAAAAAAAACATATTTGAGATCTGTGTTGGCAAGAATAAGTGCAACTCCAGGGCAAGAAGCTTCATACATTTCATAATGGAATGTACAAGGGAGTCTATGATTTCTTATTCTAATATCCATATGGGGTTTCCTTTAGATCTGATGGACAGATTCTAATACAAAATGCTCAGGGGCTTTTCTCCTGTCACTTTGTGAGCTGAAGGCTAATATGATGGGATGGACAGCTTGTTTTTGGAATCTGACAGGAGCACGAGCGAATGATCTAGCCATATAATCATGTTTCTGGACAGAGTATTGATTCACAATTTCACAGCAATGCTAGGTGACACCGAAGGTTTTGGGTTTCTAGATTTTGCCTGGCAAGAATATAAACAAAGATCACAACATGCAGCAATGTAATATCTCAATTATTGTTTGTATTGCTAGAGCCCTTCCTGTCAGTTTGTAGGCAGTATATATGAATGTGCAGCGCTAAGGGTCACCAGTGGACAGAGGCGGCTCTAGAGTTTGCGAGACCTTAGGCGAAACCTAAACATGAGGCCCCACTCAGGCCTGTGGGGTCTCACTAGGGCTCTGTGGGGTTTAAGCAGGCTGGTGAGACCCCACAGAGCCCTGAATAACCCAGGGCTCTGTAAGGGTCTCACCAGGGTTGTGTGGGGGTCTCACCAGCCTGGTGAGACCCCTCAGAGCTCTGGTGAGACCCCACAGAGCCCTGGTTAAAGTAGGGTTCAGTGGGGTCTCACTAGTCCTGGTTAAACCCCACAGAGCCCTGGTGAGACCCTACAAAGCCCTGCTTTAACCAGGGCTCTGTAGGGTCTCACCAGGGCTCTGTAGGTTACGGCCAGCCTGGTTAGACCCCTCAGAGCCCTGGTGAGATCCCACACTGCCCTGGTTAAACCCGGGCTCTGTAGGGTCTCACCAGCACCAGGGCTCCGTAGGGTCTCACCAGGGCTCTATGGGGTCCCACCATGGCTATGTGCAATTTCACCAGCCTGGTGAGACCCCTCAGAGCCCTGGTGAGACGCCAAAGAGCCCTGGTGAGACCTCACAGAGCCCTGGTTAAACCAGGGCTCTGTGGGGTCTCACCAGAGCTTTGAGGCGGCCTCACCAGGGTAGCAGGGCTCTGTGGTGTCTAACCAGCCTTGTTAGACCCACAGAGCCCTGGCAAGATCCCACAGAGCCCTGGCAAGATCCCACAGAGCCCTGGTCTCACCAGGGCTCCATGGGGTCTCACCATGGCTCTGTGGGGTCTCACCACGGCTCTCTGGGGATTCACCAGGGCTCTGAGGGGGTCTCACCAGGGTAGCAGGGCTCTGTGAGGTCTAACCAGGGCTCTGTGGGGTCTAACCAACTTTGTTAGACCCCACAGACAGCTGTTGAGACCCCACAGAGCCCTGGTTAAACCAGGGCTCTCTAGTGTCTCCACAGGGCTCTCTAGTGTCTCCACAATTTATTATAAAATGCTCATTCGCATTACCTAAGCACCCTTAGCACTGCACATTCATTAAATACATATTTTGGCCTCAGTGTCTTTAGTGCACCAGCTTTAATATTGGTTACTCATATTTCCCTCCCATTGTTCCATAAGTGCAGATTTTACATGATACATATTATTAAATTTTTATTTTAGCTGCCTTGTACACATTGTCCACACATCCGATGCACTAATGAAGCAGGAGACTCACCGGCCCAAGTGATTCCGTCAGGTAGCGAAGGGAAGGGGGAGGAGTGCGGTGACGTCACGGACATCGACGTCACTGGACTCCTCCGTCCTTCCCTTCGTTACCCATCACGGACAACTACATCACCCGACTCCTCCCCCCTTCCCTTCGTTAGCCGACAGAGCCATTCGGGAAGGGGGGAGGAAGACCTGGAAGCCGGCTGAGAGGTGAGTACCGATCAAAATAATTTTGATCGATCAAAAAAATAAACGATTAATCGACGGATTAATCATTAATTTCCGCACCCCTAATCTATATATATAGATATATATATATACAGGGCTCGAAAAATCCACTCGTCCACTCGTCTGTGACGGATGAGCCCGACGAGCAGCTTCCTGGCCGGCCGTTGTAATTAAATATATATAATCATACATTAAAACAAGGATGCACAAATCCCATAGCCAATGCTCCTTAAAAATGACAGCTGCCTCCTAACTTTTGATTTTTTCTCTAGCCTAGTTTTGGAGCTGGAAAAGTATCAGTACTTGTACTTGTATCAGGTACAGTAGTTGGTATCTGTGCATCCCTAGTAATACCCATCTTTGAGAGTTGTCACCCAAACATATTGCCTCCCTCTAGCTCTGGTGACAGCTTTAACATTTTGAATTTCCCCTCACTTCCTGTCTCAGTGACAATGTTCAGCCCAGACAAACAGAGGATTTAATTTTCCTAGCAGAGACACAAGCAGCAATACAATCTTGGCAGCAGGTTTAATCATTTCCCACTCTATCCTAAATGAAAAAAAAAAAGGTTTTGCTTTTACATACATTTTAATGTGTCATTGCGTGTCACACACTGTAGGGCCTTCATACTACCTCCTACATGGGCAGAATTTGAAGTCTATATATTATGTTTAACCATTTCAGGATTTAGAATGTTAGAGTTTCTGGGATGCATCTTTAATGTCCAGCTGCTCTCCTCCCATCGCCGGTTCCCCCGTCTATTACCTGCAATTACTGGCAATTACTGACTGCCGCAATGACAGCTAGTAATTGCATTGTATTACACAGCAGGAGCGGCTATTAAAATGCAGCCACTTATGTGTATAACAATGCATGCAGTTTGCAAGTTTCAATAAGAAAATGTAGTGAATCAATGCATTGCTGATTTTTTTAATATCCCTTTTTTACATTTATTTTTGGTTTTATTCATTTGCTATTATTTTTAGTGTGGCATAACAAGAAAATGCGCGAAATTGTTTTTATTTACAGTAAAAATACTTTTTTAAAAAGAATAACACTGGTCAAAACAGAAAAAAAACATGTTAAAATCTTTTTATTTAGACTCCATAAAATAATAAAATATTTTTTGCAAAACAATATTGTCAAAACAGAGCCTAAAAAAAATTAAAAATAGCCCCCGAAAGTGAATATCTTGCTTAGGAAATAAGAGTTGAGTTACACAGTTCATTCTGTGGAATATAAGAATATGTATACTTTTAAATTTAAAATGTCTGGCCCACTATTTACTTTTAGGAAAATGCAATTCATCCATTGTTTGTTAAGCAAATAGCTGAAGATCTATGCTATCTATATTGTTGTTAATAGATGTGATTTTCTTTTCCTTCACAGAATTTAAACAGAATGGAGATGCCAACACAATAGTATCTGATGAAAACCACGAAGACGCTCCTCATTTCCAGCCCCTCGACGACAAAAAATAATATGAGCTAGTGCCAGTCAGGAACCTCAAGTTTACTCTTGAATCCCAGAAAATGCACTTGTCCTGCTAATAGAGATACACATATTCCTAGGTCCTTCATAATATAAATATTCAATACTGATTGTGACCAGGATGTATATGATTTCTAACTTCATAGTCTTCGCACACAAAACAAATGAAAACAACATAGGTGAGGTGTTACCCTGTTCACCTGTAAGGAACATTGTTATTATGAGTATCTTTGTCATAATGTAAATCTAAAAGAGCTTCATTCTATGTGTAAAAAATATAGCAAAAATAAAGTAAATGTTGGTAAGCCATGTGGACTTCATGAAAATACCCTCTTTAGTCCTATATACAGTATGTAATATCTGATGATTCTGCCATGAAGGACACTTCCTTTTATGGGGTGACAACGCATGTGTTTCTGATGGAGGCTGTGGCCTTTTTAACACACATAATACACTAATATCACCATCATAAAACCTGCCCTAAGAAATCCATGCAGCCATCACTGAACTGCATGCATGTAGACAGGATGTGGCTGTAGGAGATCAGAAGCACTGAAATGCAAAAAAAAGGATAAAAAAAAAAACCAATATTCTATAAAATTACCGCAACTATTTATGATGTTTTAGCAAACCAAATGCCAAGGGCTGATTCCTATCATCATTATTATTTCTCTGTATTAGAAAAGTGAAGTCAGGAGAGTTTATTTTCTATGGGCAATATGCACATTTTACATAAAAGTTATACATCAAACAGCCACTGCTTTCAAAACAGTGTTTCTCAACTGTAGTATAATTTGTACATCTGTTGCTTGCTAATACATTTTAGAAGGCATGTGCAATTTGTTTGGTTCTGAATTGAAATTCGTATGAATTTTCAGAAAGTCTTACATTGGGATGCATCCGAATTTAAGAATTACAGAAATTACAAACATTTGTACAATTTCCGGAAATTTGTACAAATTTCAATTCGGATTTTCGTTTCTGTGGACTGTAAAAATTTTTTTATTTATTTTCCTTTTTTCCTGCCACTTTGCTGTAACAAATATTTGTTTGCATTAAACGAATATTCGACCGAATCCCGAACCGAATTGACTTTCGGACTGAAAAACTGAAATAACGACATCCAAAAATTAAATGAAACTAAACAATTTTTTTGCTGGCTCACGTGTCTACATTTTAGGGCCAAATAAAAAAAAATGAAGTCACAGAATTTTTTTTATTTACCTGCAGGTCATTTTTCCTTGCCTGGCATGAAAACATAGCAACATATTTGTCCGTAAGCTCCACCTCCTCTTACCACATAGGTGAAAAAAAAAGATGGAAAATCCTGGGCCTCCATTAAGTGGGAGTATGGGACTGTAACATAACTGTAATGGCAGTGCCTCCACCCAACTGGGCCTTGTAGTTACAAATGGGACCCCCAGATGAGATAACCTTGTCCCCAGGTGTAATTATTCACATAAACCATCTTGCAGCAGTAAGCAGATCCTGTGTCCATAGATGTCTTTTAAATATTTATTGTAGAACGTTTTAACTGAAGAGGTAGATAGATATGGCTGCAATACGCAAAAATACTGGTTGTTGATAATAGCACTCCTTGCAAGGCCTTCAGTCTCTGGTGGAAGGTCCATCTTCTTCCTCTCTATAGGTCAGACGTATCTCAGTTCCCACAGAGGTTCCAGTGTATACCCTGCTTCAGGGCAGACTGTAGCCTGGACCAGTGGAGGTTCCTGTAGTGACTCTATTGTCCCCATGGCCTTAGTTAACATGGGTAAGGTCCTTGTAATGAATTCAGCAAAATCCTTCTAGCACATGGTATTCAATGAGGGTAGGCCTTGAGGGCCTAGCCCTCAGGCCTGGGCAGTAGCCCAGCACCTGAGCACCAACCTCCCAACAGGGGAGTGCCAGAAACAAGAGAGTGAATTGAGCATGCTCATGGGTTTTGTTATAGCCAACCCCTCCTACTTTAATGCTTACTGCAATGATTGGCTAGCACAGAACCACTGTCAGAATGCTACCTCTCCAGCACAGCACTCTGTCACAGCAAAGCCTGGTGGATGAAGCACATATGTGACTCATGAGCACACCCGACTGGCGGCTAACAATAATTACATCAAAAACAGAATAACACTGCTCTATTACAGGGGGTATTAGGGGGTAGACCCCTACAGTGCCATAGGTTGTCCACATTGCCATCCTGTAGATGATCTCTGGTGAAACTCCTTTTAAGTAGTGATGAGCCAAACATACCTATGTTTTGTCTGTGTAAGTTTGGTGAACTTTATCTGGCCCCTCCCTCTTCCTGAATGCTGGCCTATCACAGGGGAGTAGCAGTCCTCACTCCTCCCCGTGTCCATTTTTAAAAGATCTCCGTTTTCCCGCAATCACTATCGCTTTGAGGCTTGAGAAAGAGGCTGTGCCTCGAAACGCGTAGCCGCTATTTCACTGAGAGCCCTCACTTTATGCACAGCTCTCCACCACTTCGGACTTTCTTTCATGTGTATGACCATTCGCACCCCCGAGATACCAGCCTGACGGAACCTGTGAACACACGGTGCTCAGTATATCATAGCCGTTCGCGGCTCCTCCCCGTCACTACCTACCCCTGGAGCTATCCACCCTTGGAGCAAGGCTCCTTCCTAGGGACCTGGCACTTAGACGCCAGGAGATCTTCTGGCACACCAGCTGTCTTCTAACTGTAAGTCCATTTGTCCATTTTCACATACAAGTAGTTATCAGTATTTCTAGGGTAGTAGCGCTCCTAAAGCTGGTTTGTGTGGAACTTTATCTATAGTCAGATGCCAAATCTGAACCCTATTGAAGTCAATGGGAGCCGAATCCTAAAAATGATTAATGGCCATTTTCTAGGCTAATGAGTTAGGGATTGTCAAATGGCATGGGGAGCTGGGCCATTCCCTGGTGGACACGAACCAAAGCAATTATGTTTTTTTACCCGAGCAGTAATTTTAATAATGTTTAAGGGCAACATTAAAATGCCCAATTCCTTTAAATAACATGGTTAAAATGCCCTAAACCTGCCTGAGAAGTGGTACATCTGTGCGATTTATACAACCTACTACAGCAAAACTGACATTTACAAAAAAGAAAGTTTAAATTGCCAGTAAATGACAGCTACCTTATGCTTCCTTCTGTTTATAGAAAAAGCAGCTGGAGATTCCCTTCTTCTATAGTAGATCCTGATCCATGGAAAAAGAGCTTTGCCAGGGGGCATATGGTAGTAATACTGCTACTAAATGTTTCACTTCCCGCATGTTTGACCTAATTGAACCTCCAAACAAGCAAAATCCCATGTTTGGACCGAACCCGGAGCTCATTCCTACTTTACAGGTTGCTCACGGGGAGGAAATCAGCCTTAAGACCTGTTGGAAGCTTGACTCCTTTTTGCGATGTAGGCTTTCTGAATCTGAACTTCCCAATCCAAAATGCGGCTGTTTTAGCAGCAGTTAGGTGCCCTTTACAAGAAATCAGTTGTCTCCGTGCTGCAGTCTTGTCAACGTACCTCTTTAAAATTGTGCCCACATATAGTACCTCAGAATTAGACATGGAACAGTAGTGTCACAATGTCTAGAGACAGATGGAAAGTGGAACATGCTTTTGGTCATAAGACTGATCTATCCTTTAGCAGACATAGGTAAGGCTCTCTTCCCCCCAGCTCTTGTAGTTCTAAAACTGTCCAGCTGGTTTTTAAGGCTGTCAGAAAGGCTGCCTTTAACCTGAGGTTCCATAGAGAACAATCACTTGGAAACGATAGAGAAGGATAGGTCTCACAGCATAAGAGAACTCTTCTTCGAGAATTAATTTTCATACATGCTTTGACAAACTGATTGATTAGATGGTGTGTGCCTGACAATGCTGACAGGGCATATATTTTTTTATCCCCTAAGATCATGTTTAGACCTAGCTGTGGGAATTTCAGCATGTTTGATACTTCAGGATGCAGAGGATAAAAGGGGACTCCACTGGCAAAAACTACAAATTTGTCCCATAGACATAGACCAACCCTATTTTGCTAGTCTGTTTCTCTCAGCCTCAATGCAGCCAAATGTAGTCTGCCTGGGTTGGGGGGAGAACTTGGCCCTGAATCAGCAGCTCTTGTGACAGTGGGACAATGACTGGAAGTTTCAATGCTAGGGACTGAAGAAGCAGAAAACAGGGCCTGAGGGGCCAAAGTAAAAAATTACACTATCACCTCAGCTGGAAATGACCTGATCTTGGCCAATACCCTTATATTCTGAGGATTGGAGGGAAAACATACCTCAATTGAAAGCCCCACAGGTATGAGAGGGCTCAGGCCTGCTCAGTTAATCCGCTAGAGTATTCTAAGTGCACTTCATCTAATGGCTGTTAGAGCTATAAAATGATTCTGTGGTAATAATATGATCAGTGTCACCTCTACTAACAGGGAAGAGCTGTAAGTGCCAGCCTGACAACCAATAAATAGGACGGATGTCCTCTTGCCCATTTGCAATTTTACAGCTTTTCCTGCAATGTGAACGACAAAAAAGGATGCTCTGAGCTCTAATACATTTGACACTTGCCCTGACTAGTTGGTTGACTGCTGACCTTGAACTAGTTGATCATTGCACTCCTGCCCTCAAGATTTGCATCTTGTATGTTGGTAGTTCCACTGAGTTGATCACCATATCTATGACTCCTCTGAGGAAAACCATTCTCTGAACTAGGTGGCTCTTACATTTAATAGATCCAAATCTCTCCAGGTTCTGGATCAACACTTTCCTGTGTTTAAGGAGAGGTTGGCAACTGGACCTGGCATTAAAAGTATATTCATAGGTAAGCTCCCCCTCCTCTTACCCTATAGGTAAAAAAAGGATGGGAACACATGTCTGTCAGAGATGGAGAATCTGAGGAACTGGGTGAAATGCGGAACTATCAGGACATGTAAATAAGCATTGGAATCAGGGCCGTCTTTACCGTGGGGAAAAAGGGGCAGCTGCCCTGGGCCCTATCATTTACAGGGGCCCACAA